AAGAATAGCTCTTATTGAGTAACTTCCTTATATAGTTCCTCAAAACCACTTTTGTATGTGTGGTTTCTTTAAGATTAGTATTTCTTTAATGAGAAGTGAAATAATTGTTTCTACGGTACTTCAAAAAGGGTAATATTACCATTCAATTATGTTTTGAAAAATGAAAATATTCTTTTTATCTACCACGTTACCACTATTTGATTTCTGCTTTTACATTTAATCCTTGGTCTTCTGTACAAATTTGTATTTTACATAGTTGTTTTTTACTTAACATTATTGAAAACATTTCCATGTAGTCTTAACTAATATTTAAATCTTATACCTATTTAATAGATAATTCAGAAAATATGAAAATGACTAATATTTCACAGATGGAGAAATTAGCATATTTGATAAATATAATAACTCCATTTTCTTTTCCTTTTTCTCATTAGAAAAGTATTCATGCTCATTGAAGAAAAATGCACAGAAAACTATAATACAAAAATATATAAGAATTTCACCCACTGATAACATTTTATTATATTTATATCTAGTTTTTTTCTGGTCTTTTTTCTTGTGTTAAGACTGTGTTGATATCCTATTTTTAATTTAACATTTTAGTGTAAGCATTTTTTCCATATTATTAAAAGAAACCATTTTAATAGCTGTATTGTCATAAACTTAACATAATTTATGTAACTATTCCCCAGTTACTGTTTCCATTTTTAGTGTTATAGATAAAACTATTGAATATATTTTCATAAAAGTTATTATTTTACATTATAATATTCAAATAATTTGAAATATTATATTTCCAATATTTTCAAATAATTATCAGTCTACGGCCATACCACCCTTAATGTGCCTGATCTCGTCGAATAATTATCAGAAGTAGAATCCTTAGGTTAAATGGGATGGGTGATTTTTAAGGTTCTTGGTATTATCAAGTTGCCTTCCAGAAAAATTATAATCTATTTTATATAACTAGCAGCAACACATAAAAGTGACACATCCTGTTGATCCTTAGCTCACAAGGGTGTTTAGTTTTAAATGTTTGTAAATACTGTAAGTGAAAATAGCATCTTTTGAGATATAATTGACATATTAGGTATTTTCTTTTTAATTCACATTTTCCTGTTTCTGAGGTTACAGTAGTCAGTGTTGCTACTTTACATGGGATTTAGTTTGATAGCATTCATTTTATCCAGTATGCCCTCCAAATTTGCATAGGAAACCTTTCTTTTGAACCTCACAGAAGTAATATTAATTTTTCTATCTCCAGTAAATTCACTGAAGGTTATTTTAAAGGTAATGCATGGATAATTGGGATTTAGAAAGTTGAGTGATTTAGATGAACAACAACAAAAAATGGGTTCTTCAGTTTACAGAGTCCCTTGCTTGACTTTGTTACTACCGTGCAGATTTTGTCTTACGAACTCTGTTTGGAATTAAGAGATGCCCCACAAATCTTAAGTTCATGGTTAACTTCAAAGTGAACTATTGGAACACAATTCTTTTGTCAGTTGGGACTTTTGTACCCCATTGAGGAAATCCCAAAATGCAGAACTTGTTGATGGAATTTGTTTTCTGAAACGTGTTCTGTTTGTTCTCACAAATCTATTAAGTTCCTTCAGGGTAAGAATTAGATCTCATTTTTGTATCCCAGGCATAGTCCTGTTAACACAACAGGTGTTCAGTAAATGTTTGAATGATTGCCTCTTTCAATAGTGAAAAAATTGGACTTGAAGTTAGAAGGCCTGCAGTTTTTCCCATTAATTCACTTCAGCTTTACGACCTTTGTAAATTACATAGTATCTTTGAAACTCAGTTTCATCAATTCATGGGTGTACTGCTTGTTACATTTACTCTACAAAGTTGAGAAATAAATGAGATAAATTTTGTTAAAATATGCTAAAGCATTTCAGTAAATAGTGATGAGCAATTGTGAAGGTCATCATCATCATCATTATCATATGTCTGACAAGTACTTGTTAAAGAGTCCCATGGTTAAGAAATTACCTGGAAGAGTATTGGCAGGGACTGCTAGCTGATCACCCAAAATCTATTGTTTCCTGTTCTTCCTGGATCTACAACTGGACGGTTTCTTGGCCCCTCTGGCATTTAGGTGTGGTCATGTGACTAAGTTCTTATTAACAGAGTAAACAATGTGCCATAAAAACCTCTATTGAGGAGTCCTCCAAATTTTCAGTTTTTCTGGAATGGAGACAACCTTCAGGTTAACTCTGGAAGCCACCTGTTAAAGGCAGTAGGCCTCCTTGAATCTTGTGTGCCTTCATGGAGGAGGGCCACTTACTAACTTTTTACATATCCAGTTTTGCTCCCTGAGCAAGAAATAAACTATTGTATCTGAATCATTACTTTTGGAAACTTAATCCTACTATTATAAGCAAGGAGCATGCTAACATATGCTTTATTTTTTCTTTAGTGCTTTACCTTTTCCTAATCTTATAGCAGCCTTACAACAAGGGTAACATGATAAAAATATAAATATTTAGACTTGTGGTCTCTATATATGCAGTCTGTGACCTAAGGTAAAATTGAGAAGAGAATTATGTTTTGTCATTTGAGGGTTTTTTTTGGCTAAGCAAAGCTAAATGAGGTTTATAACTTGTTAAAGTTTAATTAGATAATTGATATGTTTTTCACTTTTTTATTATTTGAAGGCAAGGTTCCAAAAGCATATAAAAGAGGAGCTATCCCTTGGTAATACCTTGCTTTAATTGGTTTTTAATATCCAGACTTTTTCTTCAACATTAAACATGATACTCAATATTTTATTATATATAATTCAAATTTTATTAATGACAGTAATCATGCTGCAATTTTAAAAACCATGATTCTTTTCACTCCGATCCTTTTTCTATCTATTAGATGGTTGTGACCCATTTTGTTTTTAAAGTTTTTTGGTGGAGAGGGTTACTGGTGTCTGGATGCACTCCAGAGATTGTAGGGTAGCACATTTTCCTGTAGATACACCCATGAGGAGTTTCCTAAAGAATATCGAGGAGATTCAAGTATACACTTATCTTTTTATCTGCCGCCTTTTACCCATAGTAAGTGAAAATACTGTGCTCAGTTGACAATGGCTGCTCATTTCTAGCAAAGTTTAGTGCTTTTTACTTTCTAGAATATTTTGATTACAGAAGCAAAATACTAACAGACATAATCAAAACAGCCACCATAAGGCCCATGTACTTTACTGCCTAGCAGAGAAGCTATGCCCTTTCTTCTTAGGCAAAATTCTAATTTTATCCGTTACATTTAGTAATCTGATTTCTTCAGGAACTTGAGTTCTACTGTAGGTTGCAGTTAATTCAGTCAGGAAACAAGCTGTGACAGCAAATTAGAAATAGAAAAAAGTAAGAAATAAACCTCACAGTAGAGATAATAGCCAAGGACAGAGTAGCCATAAGGAAAGAATTAAAAACTAATTGTATTGCATTGGCCATAAAATGGCTCTAGTAACACTTAGTTGTCTTTAACTTCATTCAAAAACAATTTTGTTAGATTGTATTGTGACAACTGTCATATCAGCATGAATTTTTTTAAAAACTTCAAAATGGGTGAATTTTTGTATAGCCTTTTAAACATTAAAGATGGATGAAAATAAGCAACGTTTTTGGCATATTATGCTTTATTATTTCAAGAAAGGTAAAAACAACTGGAATGCAAAGAAGAGCTTTGTGCAGTATATGGAGAAGGTGTTATGACTGATGGAATGTGTCAAAAGTGGTTTGTGAAATTTCATACTGGAGATTTCTCACTGGACAATGCTCCATGGTCAGGTAGACCAGTTGAAGTTGATAGCAGTCAAATCAAGACATTGGTTGAGAATAATCAACATTATACCACAGAGGAGATAGCTAACATATTCAGAATATCCAAATCAATAAAGTTACTGATGAAAATGAAAAACATGTTTTTTATGGAAAAAAACATATGGAGTTTTTGGCCAACCTAATATAAACAGGAGTCTGAGGGAATTGAGAAGCTGAGCTCTATTTTCTTGGATACTTTTTAAGAATCTTGAGCTATTATAGCATGTACAGTAATTGATATTTAAAATTACCCTGAAACAACATGAAATTGAACTATGTTCAGGACACATATATAGAATATGAAGTACATTTGACAGACTATAATTAAATTTGGGTGTTGTCTAATTATTTAAAACTTTTATTTAAATCAGATGGTTTATTTTTCAATCAACTATCTAGTAATTTTAAAAAATTAGGTTTTGTTGGTTGCATGAAAGAAAATTACATGATTGTTTTGATTACCTAGTTACCTTCAAGTGCAGTTCCTTCCAGTCATTAACCCTGGAGTGGTTTGAGTTCCAGTCTAGGTAGGACAGGCAGAGGCCACATTTTTAAGAACGAGAGTCCTTCAAGGAAGTCAAAATTTAGTATAATTCCTAATGTTTGAGTTTTTGCACTTTGATTTTGAAAACAAAATTTAATCCAATTGGTATCTTTTCATGCAGATAGATTTTGATACTTGCATCTACATCTCATAGTTAGCTTTTTACCAGGAAGATAGTTCTGTGTTCTTTGGCACCTATCACTTGCTTTTCTGGAAAAATTTTATTCTATTACAATAGAACCTGTCCTCTACTTGGCTGATCATTTCTTTATAGGTACTTTGCAGTGGGATAACTAGTTGAAACTGCTGAGATTTTATTTCTTTAATACGTAAATGGAGTAAAAAAGCATTGCATTGGTATTGAAAGAGGAATGTGTTTTATTACAGTAACTTTGCAGGGTTATTCTTCATAGCACACTGAAGACACTCCCAAACAAAATCTACCACCGTATCTTACACATGGCAGATGTTTAAGAAATATTTGTTGACTGAATGAATGAGCATTGAATTTAAACTAACTGTCATCATTATAGGAACCTATAGGCAAAGTCTCAGGTGTCATTTATTTAAAACTTTCTAACTAGAAAATGTTAACCATTATATATTAATTGTATTTATTTGTGTGTGGGTTGCAGGTGGCGATAAAAATTATAGATAAATCTCAGCTGGATGCAGTGAACCTTGAGAAAATCTACCGAGAAGTACAGATAATGAAAATGTTAGACCATCCTCACATAATCAAACTTTATCAGGTACGCTTTAGCCTTACAGCTTTCCATGCTTCTCACATTCATTTCTCTATTTTGCGTCATCACTTCTTTCTTTTATGTTAGTTTTTTCAATGTTTTAAAAAAGGATAATGTCATGCTTTTATTAAGCTGAGTACACTCCTCTTTTATATATTTAAATTAAAAATTAGGACACTAAAAACTACCAGTAGCTTAATTTTGTCTCTTAGACTGTAAGTTGATTATTTTAAAAGTTGATAGTTGTGTATTTGTCATACTGTGCTTAAACCTGCTGGGTTCGGGTGTGGAACCATTAATGAGGACATGGGAGTTTTACTTACTCAAAAAATATGCTGTTATTGTTTTAGGAAATACAAAGGCCAAAATGGTATGTTACTTAATGACATTCTGTAATAACTGGAGCCAAATCTTATTTTGTTTGGGTTGTTTTATCAAGTAAAGTAAATGGGCCATTTGTTAAAAAGTAACTTTATTAATATATAATTTTGTAAAATGAAACTGTACCCATTTTAAGTGTAAGTCATTTTTTAATTTTTATTTTATTTATTTATTTATTAGATTTTACTTATTTATGTCTAGAGGGGAAGGGAAAGAGAGAAGGAGAGAAACATCAATGTATGGTTGCCTTTCTTGCGTCCCCTGCTGGGAACTGGCCTGCAGGGGACCAGCCTGCAGCCCAGGCGTGTGCCCTGACTGGGAATTGAACTGCGATTGTCTGGTTCGCAGGCCTGCGCTCAATCCACTGACCTACACCAGCCAGGGCTTTTTAAGTCATTTTTTTATAAGGAAGATTTTCTCAGATTTTAAAAAGTATTTCATGTTCAGGAATAGTAATACAATACCAAACATTTATAATATTTTTATTCATTAATATGTAGAATTTTTTATATTGGTACACTAGTTTTAAACTAAAATATTACAGTATGCTAGCCTATGATTTTAATCTCCCGAGAATGATGTATTCATCTGGTGGTATAATGAGTTCAGCCTGTCCTGGTTGCTGAGTGCTGATTATTCATTTGGGGGGATTTTCCAAGCTGATTAACACCCTGTTAGAAGCTCAGAATCAGCAGTTGTAGGTGTATGTACAGCACAGAAGTGGGCTTACAAGTCAGGGCACTTTTTCCCCTCTCAGGTACCTGGTACTGTCACACCACTGTGTGCACTGAAATGGGTTAGTGTAATGGTGCACTGGGGTTCAAGGAAATATTAGAACTTCTAATTATGTTTATCTCTTAATTTGTCTTCTTGTGTGTATTTTCTTACTGTATTTCTTCCATTACCATTTAGTGCCCTCACACCCTCCTCCCCTGCACAGTCAGCACATTATTGTCCGTGTGCATGAGTCCTTTTCCCTTTTTGCTCATTTGTAATGTACAAAATATATTTATACAGTGGCCCAAGTATGTAATTTGTGTCTCTTTATGTATATATTCATAAATACATATGTATCTGTGTATATATACACATGCATGCATATGTACATACATATCTATATTTCCCTAAACAACTTTTTATTGATAGAAATTTGCAATTAAAAAGGTGTGGGGACCATTAGCATTACCACTAGCTAAAAATGAGACACTGTGATTCAAAACAATTCCTGAAACTCTGAAACTATACAGGACCTCTTAGGTCCAATGTATACTACAGTATTTCTCCCTTTAAGCTTTTTTTTTCTTTTAATTTCTAAAGAGGATACTTACAAGAAAATTATCACATTCCTGGAAGTCCTTGATGAACCATAAGACAAATTGAGGTTAAAACATCTAGGGCTGCACATGATAATTCTGTGTTTATTTGAACTAAATAATCAACTTAACTGATTTACTGTTTGATTTGTTTAGACACAAATTGTAGGTGGCTCTTAGTTTTTTGGTCTGATAGGCAATAGTCCTACACCTACATGTTAGAGAAAATTCGTTTCAGCCTTTCAGTAGGTAGCAGTTCAGTTTTATGCTATTAGTGTGTACCAGTACATACGGCAGTAGTGTTACAGAGAAGCAACCTAAAACTCACTCTTTTTGAATCTATAAATTCATTTCCTTTCACTTCAGTTTAGTTTGGAAAATCAAGTTTATGACAATAACAGACTTCTTTTCTCAACCTAGAAAAACTATTTAAATAACAGTGTATATAGTAGTGGAGTTAACGAAGCTTTTGAATGATGTTTTAAAATAATAATACTGTGTGACAATATTAAACTATAGTAGGAGGACTGTCACATTGTGCCAGATTAAGTGGGCTCTAGGCCAGATAAACTGAGCTGTGTTTTATTATCCTTTTCTTTTTTATTATTTTTATTATTTTAATTTATTTAATTATTGTTCAAGTACAGTTTTCTGTTTTTTACTCCCATCCCAGCCCACCCTCCCAGTGCTCTCCACCTCCCTCCCATTTCCACCCTCCTTAGTTGTTGTCCGTGTGTCCTTTATACTAGTTCCTGTAAATCCTTCCCCTTTTCCCCTGAAATTCCCTCCCCTCTCCCCTCTTGTCCCCTTGTTCTCTATTTCAGTGTCTTTGTTTTTATTTTGCTTGCTTGTTTGTTTTGTTGTTTAGCTTCCTGTTAGAGGTGAGATCATATGGTATTTGTCTTTTAACACCTGGCTTATTTCACTCAGCATAATGTTTTCCAGTTTCATCCATGTTGTTGCAAAGGGTAGGAGCTCCTTCTTTCTTACTGATGCATAGAATTCCACTGTGTATATGTACCACAATTTTTTGATCCATTCATTTACTGACGGCACCTAGGTTGCCTCCAGCTCTTGGCTATTGTAAATTGTGCTGCTATGAATATTGGGGTGCATAGGCTCTTTTGGATTGGTGTTTTAGGGTTCTTAGGATATAATCCCAACACTGGAATTGCTGGATCAAAAGGCAGGTCCATTTTTAGTTTTCTGAGAAAATTCCATACTGTTTTCCACAGTGGTTGTACCAGTCTGCAGTCCCACCAACAATGCATTAGGGTCCCCTCTTCTCCACAACACTTGTTTGTTGCTTTATTTATGATGGCCATTCTGACTGGTGTAAAGTGGCATCTCATTGTGGTTTTAATTTGCATCTCTCTGATAGCTAGTGATATTGAGCATCTTTTGATGTGTCTCTGGATCCTCTGTATGTCCTCCTTGGAGAAGTGTCTGTTCAAGTCCTTTTCCCATTTTTTAATTCGGTTATTTGTCTTCTTAGAGTGGAGTCGTGTGAGTTCTTTGTATATTTTGGAGATCAAACTCTTATCGGAGGTATCATTGGCAAATATGTTTTCCCATACAGTTGGATCTCCTTTTATTTTAATACTGTTTTCTTTAGCTATACAAAAGCTTTTAATTTTGATGAGATCCCATTTGTTTATTCTTTCCTTTATGTCCCTTGCTTTGGGGGACATCTCAGTAAAAAAGCCGCAGTGTGAAATATCTGAGATTTTCTTGCCAATGTTCTCCTCTAGGACTTTAATGGTGTCACAGCTTATATTTAAGTCTTTTATCCACCTCGAATTAATTTTTGTGTATGGTGTAAGTTGGTGCTCGAGTTTCATTTTTTTGCACATAGCCGTCCAGTTGTCCCAATACCATTTGTTGAAGAGGCTGTTATTAGTCCATTTTATGTTGCTGCCCCCTTTGTCGAATCTTAATTGCCCATAGAGATTTGGGTTTATTTCTGGGCTCTCTGTTCTGTTCCATTGGTCTGTGTGCCTGTTTTTATGCCAGTACCAGGCTGTTTTGATTACGGTGGCCTTGTAATACAGTTTGGTATCAAGTATTGTGATCCCTCCTACCTTGTTCTTCTTTCTCAAAATTGTAGCTGCTATTCAGGGTTGCTTATGGCTCCATATAAATTTTTGAAGTGTTTGTTGTATGTCTGTGAAGTATGTCATTTTACTTTAATAGGTACTGCATTGAATCTGTAAATTGCTTTAAGCAGTATGGACATTTTGATGATGTTAATTCTTCCAATCCATGAACATGGTATATGTTTCTATTCATTTGTATCTTCCTTGATTTTTTTCTTCAGTGTTGTAGTTTTCTGAATACAGGTCTTTTTATGTCTTTGGTTAGGGATTATTCCTAGGTATTTTATTTTTCTTTTTGCTATATCAAATGGGATTTTTTCTTGATTTCTGCTTCTACTGTTTCATTGTTGGTATACAAAAATGCCTTTGATTTCTGGATATTGACCTTTGTATCCTACTGTTATGTCAAATTCATTTATTAGGTTGAGCAGTTTTGGGGTAGGGTCTATAGGATTTTCCATGTACACTATCATGTCATCTGCAGACAGTGACACTTTTGTTTCCTTTTTTCCTGTTTGGATGCCTTTTATTTTATTTTCTTGTCTGATCACTGTGGCTAAAACTTCCAATACTGTATTGAATAGAAGTGGTAAAATTGGACAAGCTTGTCTTGTTCCTGATCTTAGTGGAAAAGATTTTAGTTTTTGCCTGTTGAGTATGATGTTGGCGGTAGGTCTCTCATATATGGCCTTTATTATGTTGAATGCTCCCTCTATTCCCACTTTGCTGAGTGTTTTTATCATAAGTGGGTGTCGTACCTTATCAAAAGCTTTTTCCACATTTATTGATATGATCATGTGGTTTTTGTCTTTTCTTTTGTTTATGTGATGTATTACATTTACTGATTTGCGAATGTTGAACCATCCTTGCATCCCTGGGATGAATCCCACTTGGTCATGGTGAATGATCTTTTTAATGTATTGTTGGATGCAGTTTGCCAATATTGTGTTGAGGATTTTAGCATCTATGTTCATCAGTGATATTGGCCTGAAGTTTTCTTTCTTTGTTGTATCTTTATCTGGTTTGGGGATTAGGATGATGCTGGCTTCATAAAAAGAGTTTGGAATTCTTTCATCATTTTGGATTTTTTGGAATAGCCTGTGAAGAATAGGGGTTAGCTCTTCCTTAAATGCTTTGTAGAATTCTCCTGTGAAACCCTCTGGTCCAGGGCTTTTGTGCTTAGGCCGGTTTTTGATTACTGCTTCAATTTCATTTGCTGTTATCAGTCTATTCAGGCTTTCTGCTTTTATTATCCTTTTCTTGATTGCAGTTTGCCTTGTAACACAGGGCTAGAAAAGTTAGGGAGGAAGTGGTAAAAAGTTGATCTTCACAACTCCTGTGACCTGTATTAGTATTTTTCAAACTTGAATGTGCATGATAATCACCTGGGGATTTTGTTAATATGTAAATTCTGTGTCAGTAGCTCTGGGGTGGAGACTGAAACCATACATCTCTGACAAGCACCTGAACAGTGCCACTGCCGCTGCTGCCGGTCAGTAGACACCCTTGGAAGAGCAAGGCTCTGGATTTTTCACAAAGTATTAGCATCAGGATATTGTGGCATGTAAACTTGGCTGGCATCTGAATTTTTCATAACTTTGACACTTTTATTAGTAGTTTTAAGCTAAGTAACTCTATAGAATATTGTGGTGATTTGCAATTCTTTCCTATCAGACTAATGTGGAATTATTTATTAATAGGTGATGGAGACCAAAAACATGTTGTACCTTGTGACAGAATATGCCAAAAATGGAGAAATTTTTGGTAAGTACTTTTCCCTAATTTTTTAAAATTTGAAAATGTCACTAATCTTCATGAATGGAGTATTTTCTATTCTCCCTTTTTAAGAGTTGGTAACATGAATTAGACATTTTGTAAGCATTAGAATATAATAAAATAACCAGTAAGCTAAAAATATAATATATAATTTATTCTCTTATATTTATGATATTGAAGGTACTGCTTAATATTCTCATCTGTGTTAAGGAGATTGGAGAATCGAATGTAGGGAGAAACTTTGATTCATATTGCAAAGGTCTTCCCTTTTATCGTCCTCTTCACCCTCCTTTTTGACAACTATTTATTTAGCTCTTACTGTATCCCAGGCATTGTAGTAGGTATAAAGGATATAGTGAAAATCTAAGTGACACAATCCCTGCCATCATGGATTTTAAACAGTGTAGTAAGCCCTTAACTCCAGCTGTAAGATCTTGGCCAAGTTACTGTACTTTTCTGGGACTCTGTTCTTTTACCTTTAATAATTTATTTGAGTAATTGGTTTCTGTGATCCATTATTATCCTTAAAAATTATGAATATTTTGTGGCCCTGGCTGGTGTAGCTCAGTGGATTAAGCACCGACCTGCGAACCAAAGGATCGCAGTTCAATTCCCACTCAGGGCACATGCCTGGGTTGCAGGCCAGGTCCCAGCGGGGGACACACGAGAGGCAACCATACATTGATATTTCTCTCCCTCTTTCCTTCCCTTCCCCTCTAAAGATAAATAAATAAAGTCTTTTTTAAAATTATGAATATTTTATTTTAGCTCATCTGTTTTATTTTTATTCTGTGGAGCCAAAAGAGTATAGGTAGTCTAAATATTTTTGGTTTTTAACCTAAATTTAAGTCCAGAATTTTTTTTTAAACAGCTTTATAAATTGCACATATTTTAAGGTATACAGTTTGATAAGTTTTATGTGTGTGAAAGAAACCATAACCCCAATCAAGATATCCATCACTCTCAAAAGCTTTTGTGTGCCCTTTGTAATCTGTCTTGCCTGCCTCACCATCAGGCCATCACTGACCTGTTTTCTGACCCAGTAGTTTAGTTTGTGCCTTCTAGAGTTCTACGTAAATGTAATCATACAGTGTGTGCTCTTATGTCTGGCTTCTTTCTCCCAGTATAATTATTTTAGGATTCATTTATTTTATTGTGTGTATCAACATGTCATTTCTTTCTATTATTAGTAGATCCTATTTTATTAATATACCCCAATTTGCTTATTCATTCATGTGTTGATAGACATTGGGGTTGGTTTCAGTTTTTGGCTATTAACATGTCAATTGCAATGAATATCCATATATAGGTGTCTAACTTATAGTCTACCTTCCAGTAATATTCAGCACTTCACATATGAGAACCTTGTAATAATATACTTCTATTTTACCTTTCCTTGTCATACTTTTTCGCATATGTATTTTATAAAGTATAGTGTTGTTACTTTTGTTTAAAAAGTGAATTATGTTTTAAAGAGATTTTAATATTTTTTTAATCTTATCTATTTAGCAGTGGAGATATCATTGCCACATCTCTATATTCCTTTGTGTAGATACATTCTTTTCATTTGGTTTTATTTTCCTTTTGTTTGAAGGATTTTATTTTTTACCATTTCTTGAGTACAGGTCTGTTGGTGATGAAATCTTTCAGCTTTTATATGTCTAAAATAATCTTATTTTGTCTATTTTTGAAACATTATACTGGGTATATATTTGTAGGTTGACTTTTTTTCTTCAGTACTTAAAAGCTGCTGCTCCACTGTCTTCTCATTTGCATTATTTCTGACAAGAAATCTGCTGTCATCTTTTTATCCCTCTGTATGTCCCTTCTCTGGCTACTTTTAAAATGTCCTGCTTATCACTGATTTTAACAATTTGATTACAATGTGCCTTTGTGTGCTTTTCTTCACAATTCTTATGTTTGGTGTTCACTGAACTTGGATTTATGAATACACAGTTTCTATCAAATTCAGAAATTTTTTAGCCATTATATTCTTAACTGATTTTTCTGGCTCACCCCTCTTCTTCAGAGACCCTAATTATACACACATTAGGCTACTTGAAATTGTCCCACAGCTCACTGATGCACTTTTCTATTTTAAAAATTTCTATTTCTCTTTATTTTTTTTTTGATAGCTGCTATTTCTGTCTTAAATTTACAAATCTTTTCTTCTACAATGCCTAATCTGCCATTATTTTCATCCAGTTTGTTTTTCATTTAGACATTGTCATTTTCAGCCCTATAAACTTGACTAGGGCCTTTTTTTTTTAACATCTACATTTTTAGTTGGCTTTTTGAACATAGGGAATATAGTTATGTATTAATTTAATGTCCATGTCTCCTAATTCTGGCATCTCTATCAGTTTTGGATCAGTTTTAAATGATTGATATTTCTCCTAAGTTTTGGTTATATTTTCTCACTTTTTTACATGCCTGATACCTGCTAGTAGTCTTTGACTGGATGGCAGACATTGTCAGTTTTACCTTATTGGTTACCATGCGTTTTTGTATTTCTGTAATGCATCTTGACTTTTGTTCTGAGTATGTAGTTAAGCTATTTGGAAACAGTTTGATCCATTTGGGTGGGGGTTCTTTTGTTTGTTTGCTTGCTTATTTATGATTGGAGCAGTGCTCAGTCTAATTATTTCCCGCTTTGGAGTATGTTACTCAATGCCCCATAAACTCTGGATTTTGGGGGTTTTTTGAGCCCGCGTGTAAGAACCGGCACTGTTCCTGGTACCAGGCACTACTCTATCTGATCCTTTCACACTGTTCTTTCTTTGGCCTCAGGTAGTTTTCTCACACACATGTACAAATCAGTACACTCCTGAACACTGAAGGGGGTCCCTCTACAGATCTTTAGTGATCTCTCTGTGCGTAGCTCTCTCTTCTCCAGTACTGTTTGATAGCCTCTATTTGCTTTGTTCTTTCTAGACTCTCTCAGCTCTGTCTTCTTCAACTCAGGGACTTTGCTGGCTCAGCCCGGGCTCCCCCTCACTAAATGGTGGCCTGCACGCTTTCTCAAGGCACTATTCGGTCTCACCTCGTTTATCTCCTGTCTGTCAATGATCATTCCTCTTTTGCCTGATGTTCAGTGTTTTATAAACTAATGCCATGTATTTTTGTCTGTTTTTGGTTTATCTGTTTGTTGGAATAGGGGGCTGTTTCAGGCAGGAAGGTAAATTCAGTTCCTATTACTTCATTTTGATGGAAAGCAGAAGCCTCCAGTCCTCAAAAATTATCTTTAATTATAGTCATTTTTGAAAGAAGGAATTATATGTACTCTGTAGTTTTGAAAAAATGTATTATTTATAGTTGAGTTTAAACAGTTTTGATTCCATTATTTTCTAGTTGTATTTTGGTAAAGATGGTTGGCTTGCCTCTTTTACTTTTTTTTTCTTTTTTATGATACTGTTTATTGGGCTTATTTAAATTCTTAAGATACTTCTTTCAGCTAGAAGCTTCTTAACTGCTGGTGTAATAGAATGGTATGGGCTTTGAAGCCAAGCAGATCTGGCTACAGCACAAGTAGTTGTTTATAATGCTGGCTACACTGTAGTAATTGTTGCATTGCTTTGGACAAGTTTCCTTTTTTTTCCCCTGTCTTCTTTCTGTTTGTTCTTTCCCCCTTTTTTTTTTTTCCTTTTCTTTTTTTACATTCACTCATTCAGTCTTTCAGGGAATCTTTACTGAAAACCAACTAGGTTCCATACACTATTCTGTATAGTAAGAATACCACAACAAAGAAATCAGAAAAAATTGCTGTTCTCATAAACTGTACATGCTAGTGTGGGAAGAGAGACAATGAACAAAATAAGAATATTATATAGTGTATTCAATGGCAACAAGTGCTGTGGAAATAATAAAGCAAGGAAAGGGCATGAGGAGTGAGGAAGTTGATTACAATATTTAGCAGAGTGGTCAGGCTAGGCCTCACTGATGTTTGAGCAAAGATTAGAAAGCTCAGTCATCCAGCTGTGGGGGAAAGAGGGTGATCCGGGGAGAGGGAAGTGAAGGGTCCTGAGGCAGCAGTGTGTTTAGTCTTTTCAAGGAATAACAGGGAGATCAGTATGGCTAGAGAGAAGCGAGCAAGAGTGAGCAAGAAGGAAGAAAACAGGAGATGAAGTCAGAAAGGTTCATGGGAGTCAGGCATGGGGCAGATTAGGGGGCTTTGTAGGCCATTGTAAGGACTTTGTCTCTTACCTTGAATAAAATTAGGGAGCCATTAGCAGTGTTTGAGCAAATAAGTGATAGTCTCTAATTAAACATTTTAAAAGCACCCTTCTGGCTTCTGTGTTGAGAAAAAAATTGTAGTAAGCTAGGGTGGAAACAGGGAAACCAGGTAGGATGCTTTATGCATGTAAGAGATGATGATGGCGGCTTAGACCTGGGTAGTAGTACCTCACCTAGTGCTAAGTGGTCAGACCTATGACATCTTGAAAGTTGAATCGGGATTTTTTGACAGATGGGCACCTCCTAATTAGTAAGCATAATTAGGGAAGGTATCTGATCCCTGAGGCACTTAAACATTAAACGTTTGGGGAAAGAGGAGGAACCAACAGAGCAGTCAGAGCAGACAACCAAGAGAATGCAGTAGTATCCTGAAAACCAAGTAGCACTCTGCTGCAGAGGCGCTTTGGAGTGAAACAGAAGGAAGGTGCATTTGTTCATATAGAATAGATTTGATCCATTCTGTAATGTAGCAGATGAGACATCAGGGAAGCAGCAGTACGTCGGACACTGTATTGCAGAGGAAAAGGTTTAGAGCAGCTGGTGGTACTCATACGTTAGTCAAGGGATGAATAAAAGCATTGATGATTAGCAGCAAAGGAGTTTATGACTCGTAGTCAGCAGTGCTTTCCAACCCAGGAGGAGAAAATGTAGACAATGTGAATGACTCAGGTGAGGGATTGGAATGGTAGAAGGACAGATGCACCTAGGACAGAAGGACGCAGCAACTGCTATGGCCAAAGACGTGAGAGTTGAGA